GTGAATTTTTTTGGTACATTGTGTTACGAACCAGATGCAAATATGATCTGGATATGTATGTGTAGGATTCACACGTACATACCTGTATACAATACTAGTCACAAAGTCGCGTACATTTAAATTTAAAAAAAAGTAAGAGAAAAATTATTTTAATCATTGCATTTTTCTTCTATTAGCAAAAACTGTAAGCTTAATAAAAATAATAATATCAGTGTATAATACACTTTCAAAAAAATATTTGGTCAAAACTCAGAATTCCCTCCAATAATCTGCGTACGCTTTCAAAAAAAACAAAATTTTTTACATTACTCAATACTTTTAGGACATCTTTATTCTCAAAAATAGACTTGCAGACGTCGGGGCATTGGACGAACGTGGTTTTCAGTCATCCGACGTAATTCGCCCATTCTTCCGCAATTTACATAGCCCCGCGACGCAATTGTTTTTCGATTCGTTTCTTCTCCGATTTTGCCCACAAATTTCGAGGGATTGAGGTCTGGTGACTGCGCAAGTAGCAACGGCGTGGGAGTGAGAATGAGAGAGGAGTATCCGTCACAATTTTAGCGTATGTCGGGGTCCGTTGTTCGAAATAAAGGTATTAGAAATTAAATTGCGGGGCACGGGCGTGGATAGTTTGAGAAGATCCAGATAAAAGACTTATCCATGACTTCTCAATAATGTGAAAATTTCCAATCCTTTCGACGACAACACCCCCTACCAACCGCCACTCGATGTGACAGTTGGATTTAATTTCAGATTCAGTTCTGTTTTCCTGGTTTTCTCCATACAATAGGGTGCCATACTTTAAATATTTAATTTACTTTCATCTGACCAAATATTGTTCCAGAAACCTGCGAAGAGTTAATAGTTTTGGCAAAAGCAGTTCTTTTCTTCTATTGTCTCGGAAATGTATGGCTTAGACCTAGGTTTGCATTCATGATAATCGGCCTTTCGCAGCACTTTTCGTACAGTTTCAGGAGAATTCTCTTGTTGCTAGTTAAAAATTGTCTTTTGCAAGCTTGCAGCAGAAAGTTTAGGATGGTTTAATTCGTAAAAGAATTTTCTTTCTTCTCTCTGCGTTACCTTCTTCGGTCTCCCACATCGGTTTTACAGCAAGACTACCAGGGTCAAGATGTTTTGAATAACTCTTTGCACACAAAATGGTTTTACCATATAACGAAGAGTTTATCTTCATCTCTTGATAATAGTGTCCGTAACTAAAGGAATTTTTTTATTGTTATCATTTTCGTTAAAGAAAATAGAAATAACAATTCCAATCAACGTGAAAATTGCTTCGGAAGTCATGACCTTGAAAGTGTAAACCTTCTTAGCATTCTCAATTTGAAGTTTAAAATTAGATAAGAAATCCCCCGCCTTCTTCGCGTGTACGCAAACTTTATGGCTTGATTTCTGGCCACTATCTTTTAAAAATTAAGCGTGATTAAATTATTAGATATGAAAAATTACAGTTAATAATTCAAAGTCCCCAATGAAAAAATATTTGAAAAAAAACTTAAGAACTACAGTTTTCGCCACTTAAAATTTGGATTTGATATTACTTTTCTTGATGTAAGCAGACTTTATTGACTAACTTAAATTTTTGCATCAGAGTGTCGTGATAGTGTACAAATATAGTGATTTTTAAGAGTCCTTATGCTATTGTGTTTTATGCGCAGTCGACGAGTAATTTATTTCATCCAATCAATTTAAACGAAATTCAAGGGAAAAATGCATATAATTTATTCCGTACAAGAAGTCAGGGTGTACATCAGATTTTTAATAAATTATAATAATAAAAAAGTATTATATGAAATTATCCTTTCATCTAAATTAAAAATGTTACTAGTATCCATTATGATTTTACAGTATTTACTAATTTTACACTATTTTTTTGTTTTTTGGCTGATGACTGGATCTATTCAGCTGATTCTGCCAAATGCTTACCCAATCTCATAAAATCGAGCCACGATTTCTCATTAATAGCACAACCGTGTCCCCACTTTAAAACCACTACACTGTTCAATCCACGTTTTAATCGAGGATGTTACGGAGAACCAGTTTATTCGCTGCTGCTTCTAATTAAGTTTTAAATTCCTTTTATTTTAATTGCTTTTCCCGAGCCCGTTCGCTAAATTGCTTCGTTATTCTGGAAAGTGGTCTTATTTTTCTTGTTCTGCATTCCAGCGGTCCCAGCATTTGGGATCATTAGGCATGTTCTAACTCGAAATTACCGCTGCAGTTTTAAAATAAAAACAGTTGTTATAAGGAAAGCTGGGGTTTTTCGAATATCGTTCATCTTGACAGTTTTTTTTTTTTTTTTGTTGTTGTTGCCTGTGCAAAAGAATTTTCTCCCCATTTCCTGCGTCGTGTAATCCTTATGATTCATTGCAGATTTATTAAGTGCGTTGTTTGTGGTAAGAATAAGAACTGATGAGGTTGTCTTCGCGTACATTTATTTAATGCATACCTCGTTGGACAGAATTTTTATCAAAATTAAGCCTGCGAAGATATATCTCAATTTCTTAACTTATCCGTAAATGCAAGTTGCAGAATTTAAAGCATGAAAAGTTACTGGGGGGGGGGAAGAAGCAATTTGGAATTCTAGGAAAATTTTACATGACAACAGAAATATGTTTTAATAGGCCACGATTCCTAACACGGTAAGAAGGACTATTTACACTGACTTAAAGCCTTCATATTTTATTACAGAATTGTTTCTTTGATATTTGCTACCTAATAATTGTAGTAAAATTGCTCTGTAGCTTATTGAATATTCCCCTATAAATTAACATCGAATTCAGACACGGTATGATGTTATTCATATATATTGTTCTCGGGAATACTCAGGTCGTTGAGACAAAATCGCTATTTAAGTTTGTTGTTTTCTTTAAGCGTGTGTGTATGTGTGATTATGGCAAAGCCTCGAGGGCTATCTGCCTAAGAGGAGGGATGCCTTCGTGGAGGACTTTCTAAGGGAAACTGGCTCGTATACACGTTACATATGGGGAAAACCACGAAAACACCCATGCAGCCAGCCCGTTCGCGGGATTCGAACCTCGAACGAACTACCAGTGTTCAGCGACTTTACCGCTCGGCCGCTAGTGGGCCTTTCCTTAAGCACTTAGCATATGATTATTGGGTACTTTTCTGCTTTGCCGGCGCAGGCGATAAAGTCGCCAGTAATGGTACAACTGATGCCAAACGAATATCCTCGCTGGTAACCTTATACGCTCATTTTCAAAACAAGTCGCAGCCATTTCTTATCACATTGATTGTTGTTTTCAATACTGGCATACAATTACATAGAATTTTAACCAGATTGTTCAATTTTATGCCGTAAGGCCATTCGCGGTCATTAAGGATGCAGTCACACCGCTCCCACGAAGGCGAAAATATAGAAAAGCAAAGTCAAGGATTAAATTCTTCAATTCTAATGAGAATGCACTAGCGAAGTAAAGCACTGCGGTTTTACATAATTTCCGAGTAAGCTATTCGTACGAATTGAAATAATTCTTGCAATTAAACTTGTATTCCAGATTAAGATTTAATTTGAAATTTATGTAGATAATTACTGAGAGAATTAGAATTTTGAAGCGTAGTTTACGTGAGATGAGATCGCTTGGGGTCACGTGATATGAACCGGCGAATCAGCATGTTGAACCATGGAAGCATAGTAAATTCTTAAGTTAATGTTTTTTTATAAATTTATTATTATTTATTGGCTTTTTACAAAATTTTAAACGATATTAAAATGTTTATGCCTTCAAAATAAAAAATTCTTAGAACTAACATTCGTTAACATTTTTTATTTTTGTATATTGTATGTTGTCGCCAATAAAGTCTGCTTGGCAAAATTTGCGCCGATGAAATGGAAAAGTACCGAAATATGTTACAGATAATAAAACAAATTCCAAATTCTAGATTTACGCTTTCAGGTGCCCACATTCGGTTCCCATTTACGTTATTTAAAATTCGATATCTCTAGGTATTGTTTTTTTCACAATGCGAGAAACCTACATACATTCATGCAGATTCCTCCTTATTTAATTTTTTTTAATATAATACAAGGCTATAATATTCGGTGGCAACAATTTGAAAAGCGATACAACCGTTTATAGTGATTCGACGAAAAAAAAAAAAAAAAAGTTTGAGACTAAATAGCCGTTCTGGGCTAATAAATAAAATAGTGAAAAATAAGGAGAAACTGCAGTCGAACCATTTAGATTTTAGTTTAACATCTGAAAGATGTCATAAAATTGTGTGCGACTCCGTCAAAAACCCCCAAATAGAATTTTTCATTCTGAGAAATATTTGTTCGTAATATGTATTTTACTTAAACATATCGGAAACTGTAAAAGTCCGAATTCTATAGACTGAATTTTTCTGAAATACAGGCCAGCAATAAATCAGACATTTCTTTTTTCCTTTAAAATAAAAATGCCATATCTCTTCTGTTTAAGAAAGTACCTTCCCCTCCACGGGTTCAATTTCTAGCCAATGGGATAGCTACGATGACGTTATCTTTTTTTCTCCATGTGTAAAGGGAATGCGAGATGGGTAAGATTTGGAAGTCCTGCACGAAAACATCTCTCCTTTCAGGCAGATAGATCTTTCATTTTTTAAGCTAAGATATTAGCCTAAACCCAGAAGAGTTAGCATGAACTTATAAAGCCAAAGTGCTAGATGTACAACATCAGAAATATTTTTATTAAAGTTATAGCTGTTTATAGTATTCGTAACCATTGTAATATCATTACGAATCACTTTTTTATCTAATTCTGACCGCTCTGATCTACATGTTTCAGATTAAAGGCCATTAAATAAACAGTTATTGTAAATATGCTTAAGAAATTTAAAAAACATTTTACAAATAGGACCCAATTCTTTTCAAATTACATCAGACATAATAGAGTTTTCCTGTGTTCTTTGCCATGTGCCTTCAGTTTAATGAACTTCATAATTTCTACTCATTTATTGGCAAATTGTCTGTGATTGGCTATTCGTGCATCTAACCACTTGTTTCATTTCAGGTAAGATGTTCTCCGCTGATTTAGCTGCGTGACATGCGGTCATTTTCATTGGATGAACTCCAGTGACGTTCTGCAAGGTATATCACAAGAGATGAAGCTGCCCCACTTCTACAGTTGCCAAAATTATCAAAATCGTTTATTTTCCGGGTGAATAGATCCCTAATTTATAAAAGACTTTTGAAAAATTCCAAGAAACTTCGCTATGATGAAACTCCGTCTATATACGTGTAAAATAGTGCTGGCGACCTCTTTGGTGTGGTTCATATGTGGAGTCATGTTGCTGATGTATTATACAGACTGTATCGGGGACAATGCAGCCTGCCAGTCATTCAGGCAACAGACGATGGATGGGGTTCCACCAAGGGCTCAGAGGTTCATCAAGATCGCGGAACCATCGACGACATCGGTCGACAGTAATTTTCGAGAGTGGAGTCCAGTAGGTGAGGAAATTACCAAAACTGTTTTATTTCTATATACTAGCTTTGCTTTATATTCAAATTTTCGTTTTTTCTTTAAGTTGAAGTTTCATCTTCTTGTGGAATGATCCTTTAAAATACAAATACCATATATCGTATATTTTAAAAATCACTTCCCTCTCCCCTGGTTCGATTCCTTGCCAAGAATCTTTTTGTGTGCTGTGTTAGGATCCACAAATTGTTAGGTGAAATAGCTAGTAAATGCTAATTAGCTTACTTAATTAACACTTGCTTAACCCTTTCCGGCACGTTACCTTTTAAAGTCAGAGTTTTTATTTAAAAAAAAATATATATAGGCAGTCTAATTAGGCTTAGAGGAGTACACAAGTAAAATTTTGTGAAGATAGCACTTATCGTTTTAATTCTTTGAGTGTGCCCAAAGTGGCACACTGATTGAATAGAGCTCCGAAAAGAGTGCTGAAACGAGCATTGTTGTCAATGAACTGACCGACGAGATGCGGAGAAACAGACTGTCAGTTGCCCTAGATTATCGGTGAGCCCGGTCTGGGCACACCTAGGGTTCGACGTTTGATTTTAGGCAAGATTTCAAGGTAAAAATTTAAAACTAATATAGAATAAGGAGATTAGCATACAGCCAAAAACATAAATTAGAAATTTCTTTCCAAACAATTCCTTTTATACCCTAAAAAAAATCTGGAAGATTTCTTTGGAAAATGAGGTTCTTAAAACACTAAACATGGCTAAAATATATGGACTGGTTTGTGTTGAGCTGCCATCTAGTATAAATAAAGAAGGTTTAGAGTAACCTATAGTAACTTCTAAATCCTTTTTCATTCAATTTTTCTGTGCGTACAGAAGGAAATTTTTAGGTGTGTCCAGACCGGACACACTGTGCCGCAAAGGGTTAATAGCAAGTAAGCAAAACGTGATATCAACAACAGCAAGCCAAAAGTTTCTCATTTTTGTATCTTTGGAAATAATACTCATTTTATTTTGTTTCTTCATGTTTCAGATATGCTTCATACAAATCAAATATGGCCTAGAGTCAGCTATCCGGGGTATAACACTCGCTTTTAATACAAAATATGAGATCAAAATTTACTGGTTCGCATTATACGCCGGACATAAAAATGGTAGATTAAAAATAAGGGAAAGATAAGCAATCACAAATTACATCTCTACGTGTTCCTAAATACTGTTTGCTTAAAAGAAATGACGTTTCTTATGAACTTAACAAATTTCCTCATCTGATAACATGGAAAGTTGTGTCATATTCGTCTTCCATTGTATCTTCAGGCGCATCATCGAATTGTGTTTCATCTTCCCTATCACTTTATTCTCTTCCATAAATAAATAATCATCATCTGTTGCATCTAGCTTATTAGATATACTACACTTTTAACATATATTTTATTTTTATATATACAGCTTATTAGATATATTAGAACATTTAACAGCTTATTAGATATACTACATATAACTTTTGAATTAAATCGGATTTAATTATATTACATGTTTTATTATCCTCCGGCACACTATTTCTAGACTGGCATGGTGCATTTGACTTCCTAAACTGTCCTCTTACCTTCCTGGCCTTCGATGTTCACTTTAAAATCACAACTTCTAGAGACTAGAGAAAGAGAAAACATCTAACTGCTCTTTCCACGAATTCATTCGGGTCGGAAGTGCGTTCTTACCTCAAATAATGTCTCCCATTTTCTCGAAACCTTAGAATAACATTCTTGTGCACAACTGCATTGAATACAACGCATCCTCTTTGCAGAGTTTTTACTCCCTCATTCCTCCGCACATACATTGTTAAAACAGACATATATATTGTTAAAAGACTTAGACATATTTTAGTTTAAAATATGATTTCATCTTACCTTATATGTGTATAAGTCTGAAATAGTCTTTCAACGGAAAATCTCGTTTTGAAACTAGTAGGCCTTCTTGGCTAACGTCATTTGGGCGTTAAAAAAAATAAGTTTAACTATAATTTCTTAGAATATAATAATCAAGACCTCTGGCTAAAAAATAAAGAGAAGTTTCAATTAAATACGTGACTACTTATTACGTGATTGTACGAGGTAAAGGAAGTATTGTAATCACGAAAAATTCCAGGTGCCATATTTTATTTCAACGAAAATAACCATTTTGACCGCTATCGAATACAATTTAACGATGTTTTTGCTTGATATCTGTACGTAAGGACAGAATAAATGACTTTTTTTTTTTTCCCCAAAACGAATTATAAAACTGATTTAAAATGGATTCAGAAGAGATTTTTCTTCGTGGTACGTATATATGTATCTTGCATAACTCATAAACGAGTAGCTTCAGAACTTTGAAATTTTGTATATTGGACTGCTATAACATGTAGTTGTGCGCCTCCCATTTTGGTTGCAATCAAAAGTGTGTATAAGTATCAAAAGTGTGTTTGTCAGCTGTGCCAGCTTTTGTCAGGAATAAATAGATTGTTGAAGAATCATCAATGTAGTCGTAGCTTAAATTATCAGACGATAGTTTTAAAAAACAGGATCCATTTATTATATTTCAGGAGAAAATAGCATTTACAAAAATCTGATCTCCGGAGTAAATAAAAAGAATTACTAATAACTTTTTGTATAAAGTTTACTGCATCGTGACATTTAAGAAAAAGCTCCAATATTCCTTTTGCGAGTCTTTTTATAGCCCTGGAAAGGCGGAGCTTCCAAAAAATGACGTCAGCCTTGTCAGCCAAACCAGTTCGCTTGAAATATTTCCAGAACATTCTATAACTGTACGTGTAGAAAAGGCGGGAAAAACAACTTGACTACGGGGCTGTGGATTTAATTCCACGTACTTTCAAATAAGAGAACGTCGCCATTAAAAATGAAAAGAACATACAGTTAGAATTTTAAGTGTATTCTTGACTAGGAATTTATTATTACACAGATATATATATATATATATATATACCAAAAGTATATATATATATATACACACCAAAAGTATATATATGTATCCACTATGTTACTCGGCTCCGTGAGCTCAGTTTTTTTTATTTTTATATGTTGGTAAATTGTGCATTTTTTGCTTTAAAAATGATTGAATTATGTTGTTCTTATCTTCCGGTTAAGGTTTTTATGCCTCTAGTTACTCTGCATGCAATATTTAGAGAACTATCGACAATTTAAAAGTTTTTTAAGTTCGGCTAAGCCTAATCCTTTTTTACCATAGCAGCCATATTTGCTTACATTTGAAACTTAGCAGAATAGTTAATTAATTCTTTCTGCACCTTCAGTGACTTTTAGCCGGCTGGGTCAAAAGGAAAATTTTAGATTTGTGCACCAAAAAATCTGCCTACTTGCCTGCCAGTCGAATTGCTTGTTTTTGCGTAGAAACTGTAATTTTAATTGTAAGAATTGTTTTTTTTAATTATTTTAATTGTATTTGTTGTTTTATGTTTTCCTATATCTTTCAATTTTTAATGAAAATATTTTGAGTTTTTATGTATTTTTGCCTTGTCTCGAAGTGAGAACTGAATTAGTTGAATGAGAAATATATCTCTAATGAAATTCGAAAATGAAATGCAGGAAATAATGCGTATAATTTAATATTCTGTACAAAGAAGCCATGTGGTGTACACATCAGCTTTTTTATCGAAGGAAAAATGCCAATGCACCAGTTTTGGTCATCTTTTCATATCTCCGCATGATATTATCTAGCACTTATACAAAATCAAAGCAAATTCAAATCTTATGCTTATTCGAACTTATTTTCTGTTTCATTTAAATTTAATACGTATATAACCTCTAAATATTAATATAATGTTACATGTATTTTATTTAAAATCCAAATTACTGTACTGCAAGCTCATGGGTTATTCATTAACCGTCCTCTAACCGAAATGTTTACGAATCATTGCATTGAAATATTAATCATGCCTTAATTCAGGATATTCGGAATCTTAAAGATTAGCGTCTATTGCCTCTTCCAATTTAAATGCATAGTCGCAGTAATCATCCATTTAGTATAGATGAAGTTACATTAAATTGGATTTAATTACGCTGAATTCATTTCAGTTCAGCAGCAATCTCGTATTAGCATATGATACCGAGATAATAATTTGTTAGACATGGATTAGAGCTTTAACAATGGTAACATTGACCTATATACATATGCTAAGTGACGGAGGGCGTGGGCACCATCCCTCTACCATGATGGTCAATTGGTAGATCTATATATATATGAAGCGAAAACAGTGCTGCTTGCTTATAAGTGAGTTTAATGCCTTACCTGTAACGAATTTTCGAATTCTCCTATGCGTAATCTTCTGGCGTAAGTGGTTAATATGGCCGAGTAATAAATGAGAGATTTTTTACGTTGAATATCGTCAAGGGAATTGTTAATTTTTCATGTGTTTAGCTCTGAAAATCTCTACATTGAACATATGTATAGTAACGTGTGATAATTCATTATAATATTCATAATAAAAATCTATATCTCTTTAAAACCCTGTTTCTTCTAACGCTTATAACGTTAATATGCTTTGACAAGAACAGCTGGTGGTCTGAAGTTGTGTAATCACAAACTGTTTCTAACAGGAACAACAGAAATGTAGAAATAGCTTCGATAAGTTACTGCTTGGAACGTTGTAAGCCCGAAGGAGAGGGATGTTTAACCAGTTAACTGTGATTGACGAGTATACTCGTCGTGCGTATAATGAAATGAAAAGATAAAAGGGAGGTTTATTTAGTAATTACTGTACATAATGACAACGTAACAGAAACAGAGAAAAGAAAAATAATAACAAAGAAACCGGAGCTAGTGATTGATTATAATAAAAAAATCGGTGGAGTGGATGTGAGCGATGGAATTATCATAGCGTACTCCACAGCAAGAAAACGACTCAAAAAGTACTACAAAAAGATATTTCTCCATTTCTTAGACATTATGTGTCTGAATGTATTCATATTATATAAAAAAAAATAATAGAACATGATCGCGTATCCACTTTT